CACAGCAAAGTGGCATACTGATCTTGGATTTTGTACACTGAGGTTTAATACAAGGGTTTACATACATTTCTGAACAACTTATGAGGGGGAAAAAACCTCTCCAAAACGAAAAAAAAAAAAAACAACAAAAAAACAAAAATCCAAACACCAAAACCATCAAATCCCAGACGTGTCATTTACCCTAAACTGATGGATCCACCACTGCATCATTATACTCCGTATTTACAACACTGCATGTTACATCATGAAGGAGAAAAGCAGCCCCGCAAGATGACATGCCAAGAGCAGAGACCATATATATCGAATACTGTCGTAGTTTGCTGCAGGAACAACTTCCAAGCGTCAGGAGCTTCCTTGCAAGCAATCGCTCACCTTCACAGCAAGAGTCAGCTCAGATTACTGCAACAATGAGCAGCCAACAGTTACCCCACCTGAGCAACTACGCTCAGGTTAGCCCCAGTAAGCTTAAACTTGCAGCCAAAGCTGTAGCTCAGACTAGCTTGACTGGCAGCTGATGAATTTTGCTAATTAATGCAAAGTGTGCTAACTTGATACGTTGTTCATGGTTGAATTCCCATTTAGAATACGCCAATCATTTTACTCACAGACATGTTTTCCCCTAGAGTTCCTATAATCAATAGGTAAAATAAAATCATGCAGAAACACGTGGTTTGTATTTATGATTTTTGCACAAATGGGGGTTGCAACTCAATACGTTCCAGTATCCCTACAATCAATTCCTATAATAGCCAGGATGTTCCAGCTTTCCTGGGTGCTCCTTAATCTCCCCATCTTCTAATGCTGAAAACTAGCACTGCCTAAATGCACATTCTTCACCATTTTGCAGGATATATATGAATGAGTTGAACTTCAAGTGTTCATTCTACAGACAACCATTGAATATAACTTGTCCAAGAGCTATTAAGAGTAAAAATGAGTCTATGACTTTGATGCTTTGGGAGAATACATGTTTAACTAAAACACAAAACACAGGTACAGGCTGATCATGCTGCTTTATATCAAAACCAGAAATGTTTCTAGAAACTGAAGAGTCTCTTCTGTGAGGAAATTACAAGTCTGGATATTCCTCCTCTTCCCATCTCTACCACAGGGAGTTTGAAAGGTTCCTCCTTCATTTCTAAATATAGAGCTCATAATCAGTTGCTGCATGAGAGGCTCATGAACAGGAGCACTAGGATTTCAGACTGGAATAGCAAAGACAAAACAAGTCACAGCACTCCTCAGAGTTCTCTTTAAGGTCACCACCATGCAGATACAACCCAAGAATCTGAGTCAGTGAGCCTAAAGAACAACCAGAAGAAAAGCAGCCAGAGCTGCAACTGAGTTAGTGGTGGCTGTAATCTTTATTACAACGTGGTAAAATACAGGAATCAACTTTCCATTTATAATTATAACATCACAATTATAGGGGATCTTGTAAGTAAGAAGCCAGATGTCCTTAACGGCAAATGTACTAATAACACAATTCTCCTGATCATCTCTGTAGCAACTAAGGTGGACTCGAAGTAAGGGCAAATAAATATGTAACTATCGGTTGATTTCAGCAAGTTTGCATTTATTAAAAAACCCTAGAAAACAAACCCCCAAACTAGATTTACAGGTCTAGCAAGTACTACTGCATATTTCTGTAAACTTCCACACTCCTTGTAACTCTATCACACTGGTAACTTAATAGTGGTATATAGTTATTAGCATCAGAAGAATGTCTCAGTCCGAATATGCCCATATGCTGAATTAAGTGAGGAAGTATTCTGAAACCATCTGTGTTCGGGCTCCTCATGCTGGACAGCTTCACTAAGCTTGGGGGACTTCAACGGGGAGAATGACTTGTGCTGACAACACTTCAAGTCCAGCATCCTACTGCATATACTTTTGCTCATTTCAGTCAGAATCAGCAAAGACTCTGGAGCAGAGTAGTTTACTAACCCTTTGTAATCCCAATAAACTGCTCAATCATTAACAGCTTTAACAACCTGTGTACCACACAACAAATCATTTATGACCCTCCTTTTCGTCTCCCCTCACTGGTTGTGGCTTTTCCCCTTTTCTGTTTCTGCTGGTGGCTTAGTTCAGTTGAATTCTTTGTTCATTTATTCCTTCTGTTGGGGGTGGGGAAGAACCAAAGTATTTTTCAGTTAGGAGATAAAAAGAATCCTTTTGTTCTGCTCAGATTGGTATGTTACAAATTTGGTAAACTCTCCCTTCCGTATTTATTCTGGTTTTATAATCCATAATGGTCAGAGAACAAATGTTCCTTCACAAGATGGTCCCAAACCCCTATGGCAAAAATTTAAGATATCACTTACTTAAAAATAGAAACTAAAGTCTAAATTGGTAGATTATATCATTGATCTGGGCCCTTTTGTCTGTGCTAGAGAAGCTGTAGAATATATAAATCTAGGGGAAGACTTAGTGCAGAAAAAAAATAATAAAAAAATCACTATTCTGGACTCCTTGTAGAACTTCTCCAAGTGCAAAATTTTAAATCAATTTTTGTTTTACTGCACTGTTCTAAATATGAACTTAGCAGTGGTCAAGAAACTGGAATACTTTTCCATGTATTTCTTGTTAGTTTAATGCTTTCTTATATTTTGTTTCTTTGTAAATACCAGCACAGAAAAAAAAAAACCTAAAAGAACCCACCAAAAAACCCCACCAAAGACTACACAAGACAACAGTACATTCTCCTTGCCACCACACCGTGTTTTCTCCTTTTAGATCTCCCACACTTGGACAGTTACACCCATCTGAAATGTGCCTGCATACCGCAGCGTCTTCTGTCCGCTTCAGATTAAAACAATTATATATACACTTTCTGCGGTGCAGAGCACAGCATGACACAGCAACACAGATCACACTGGCTTAACAGCATTCAGACGGCAGGTTTTTATCTTGAAGTACGAAACACACATCATCCTGTAACAGCTAGGTTTGTAATTGAAGCATGGCCACATCAGGAACCCTGTGGTAGTCACATAAGCGTGAAGTGGGCAAAAGTCTTCTGAAACAACACTGGAATAGTCCTCTTAAAAATCACATTGTTCACAAAGGACAGGCTTACCACTGCCTACATAAATCAACAGTAGGTCTTCCCAATGGTGTGAAGTTGTACACTCTGCCAACTCAAACCTGTTGTATTTGTTTTTGGAAGACAGTTAATATGGCTAACCAATACCTACAGTACCAGGCAGTAATCTTCACAAGTGAAATGTCATGAACAAACACAATTAACTCAGGGAAGACCATCCCCTCTAAAACCAGGTATCACTCAAGATACTTATGTTTTGCCATTTGTCAGTAAACTGCTCAATAAACTGTGCATCAAATGCAACATATTTAATGAGCGCCTCCAGGACTGCAGAAATTACAAGTTCCCAAAACATAAGGTCTGGTTCCCAAACTACTGCAATCTGGATAACATTCACCTGCTTTCAGACTGTTGTAGTATTTCTCACTTCCCTAGCTAGGCAAAGGACAAGTGGCATACTCTGAGGGAAGTTCCACATATGACTGATATTCTTTACAGAAGCTCTCTTCATATCTGTATGATTTCATCTCATTTCAACTGCCTTCCACCAGAAGCCAGCTACAGAAACAAGATTTCTCCAGCCTCTCATAACAACTCCCCCCCCGGGAGGAGCCAGTGTGCCCTTAAAGTCAGAAGGAGTTGATGGAAAGCTATCTAGTTCTCTTAAAATCTGTCTGTAATCCACTGCAAAAACAGTTCAGCCCCAAGCAGGTGCAGCACACCCAACACTGGCAGAATCAGGGTTTGGCACTGGTTAGACAAAGGCAGAAATTAAGAACATGACTGAATCGGCAGTACCTTAGCTTAAAAAAAGGTGATGGCAAGCACTCATGCAAGAGAGCTTAAGAAAGACAAACAATCTTTCACAGGCTGGCTACAGCAGTTACTTCAGAAAGTTAGCAACAATAAAATGCAACTGCAAGATACAGCTATACAAGTGTGGGTTACAGACAGCACTACTGAGGTACTGGGCTCTATGAGCAGGCTCCACATGTGCTTATGCTTAAGTCTTTGCACGGGCATATTCTGTAACATTATTATACACTGATACTGACCCTTATTATCAGAGAGGGCCAGTATCAGTCATATACCTAACCAGGGCAATCCCATGTGCCTAAAATAACACACAATTTTCTGTGAGAATGGCATCTGAGTAAAGGATTACGCTTACAATACATGCAAGCCTAACACAAGTCTCAACTGGCAAGGACATGACTGATCTGTTAGACTTGATAGCTCCAGCACAGCTTACCTGGCTCTTCCTGCTCCACTCTTCCACAAGCACACACCCCACTTTCTCTAGTGTACGTTCCAGAAGCATTACCAATTCACAGAGTTGGGAGGACAGGTAATGTATGCATATTTTTTTTAAATGTTGATGTCAATGTCCTGTCTACTAATTCACTGCTGAAGACAAAGTAAAATCCATCTAAGAAATGTCAGTGAGGAGCAGAGAACACCACAGGTGGAACAATACACATGCCTAAATAACCAACTCCTCTGCCAGAAGGAGTTGAGCTGACAGATTATGACACAAACCCTTTGGCCAAATGGCCCTTAACTAATTCTATTACTTCTGTCCCTTAAGAGAGGGGCCAATTCTCAGTAAAACATCCATGGATGTGGACAGCAATATGCAGAGGAAAAATACCCCTAAAATCAAACAGGCACATGAAGTCCTGAATTGCTCCAATTTATCTGTTGCATTGCTATCATTTCTTCTTAATGATAAATTTACTCAAAAGGAAAAAAAAAAGCCAAAAGCCTATTAAAATGTCTATTTTAAAAAATTAGCATTCACTTTTTAATCTGCATGCTCAGAACTCTCACACTGTAGCTCAAGAACCACAGAGCAAGATGACATCTAAAGCAAAACCAGTTTTGAAACAGACTAATATCTCAGATTTCATTCATGCTGGTAGTTCAGTGTTCACATCCTGTCCTTCCTTACGTGCTGCTGGCTGAAGATAATCTCTTCCAGGCTTCTCAAATGCTGACACAGGAACCTCTGTGAGCATACGAAACTACTTCCTTTTCTCCTTGAAAAGATTTAATAATCTACAACTTTTTTTCTGTGCCCTACTTGTAGTCTATCGTTTTCTTCCTTCTTGTATTGAATCTGCTAAAATAAAATTTTACAGAGTGTCAATTCAACAAAGGAAAAACTATAAAGTTCATTCTGACAGCTCCCTTTCTCAAAAAAATTAATAAAAAAAAAAAAAGAAAGCAAAAAAAGCCTTTGCCCTTGAAAAGATGAATGGAATAGCCTTAGGTATTCTATAGCTGTACTTATGAAAAAGTTTTTGGACATTAAACACACAAGTCTCTACAGAAATACAAAAAGTGTTTTGCCCAAGTCATAAACTTCCTTTTCCATTGCACAGTCCACTTCTACACTTTCCACGCTACAGTCCACTTCTAGACATAAGCTCACCTCTAAGAGAGGGACAAGTGCCATCCATCTCAAAGGGAAGCAATGCCTATAAGATAATACTAGCAAATGAAGTAGTCTCACAAAAAGCCATGTACATACAGACACAAACATATGCTATACAAATTCAGGAGAGCAATTATCCTCTCTACAGAAACTCAGTGCTTTGTCCATACATTAAACTTTTCTTACCAAAACCATGCCACTTAATATTATAATGGTAGCATCAAATCACAGTACATGACACTAAATAAATATATCAGTCAATCTAAAAAAAAAAAAAAAAAAAAAAAATCACTAGGTGTCAGAATGTCCAGTTTACTTTTCTATGTAGAAAAGGTATTTCACCTTAAAATAAAGTAAAAAGTCATGAGAAAGTAATGTAAAACTCCCTGGCCACAAACAAAACTGATGCCAGCACTCTTAAAACGTTTAACATCTCCATGTGTGTCCTATTTAGTACTTCATACTGAACTGTTGGAGAAATTCATTATTTTCCTCACTCTTACCCAGAACAATTAAGTTTGATTTTAAAGTTTTATATTTTAAAATAGTGATAAAAACACCTAACAAGAAAGATTATCTGATATCAATCCAGCTGCTGAGCAGGCATTTACATTTTATAGAGAACAGGCATTTTCACTTTGTTAGATCTCCCCCCAGAACCTATCTGAAGACAAGTAGTCAATCTACCCACAGATTTCTATATGAAGTTTAAATAAAAACTCCAAATCCTCTTAAACTTGGTTTTCTAACTTAAAGCAAATATTTATTAACACATTTTTCATCAAATGCTGAATCATGGGGAAAATGTGTAACTCATTGCTAGTTTAGAGATAATTTTATTTCAGCTCATTGAACAAATCCCTTCTTGTTTTTAGCAGAGCTGCATCAGAACATTTTTTTAAACAATGTTGTATCACTGTTGTAGTTTAGAGAAAAACAAATGTAAGTCTTGAACAGGAAAGGAAAAAAAGTAATAAAAACAAGCTCATTTCTTATAAGTGCAAAGATATTCCCCTGTAGCAAGCAAAGAAGGTAACACAGATTAGTATCAGCAATTTGAATTTAAGCTATCCAATAGAGATTAAAATTTAGAAGTCCAAGTTTCTCTCATTATAAGAGGTCTCTTCTATTGTTCATCCAAAATTACCACTTTTTTTGTTCTTTACTGAAGCATGCAAAATCACCCCCTTATATTATGTCTAAAATAATTTTCACATAAGTCAATAATAAAAAACCCCAAACCTCATTATTACTATTATACTGTATTACAGCAACAGCAAGGCTCCCATTATGATTGACAAATATACAGAAAAACACTGTCCAGAAGAGGTGGATGAAATAATTTAGTCAGTCATTGAATTCAAAGGGATCAGAGAACAATTCTGAAAATGCAGACTGGTTAATGCTTCCAAAATCAACACATCTGGTTCCTACTTCTGTGCAGGTTCCTAAAAAAAATTCTGTTCCTATTTCTGTTGAAATACTTAAGCACTCAAAATACACAGAAATTCATATTATTTAAAAGATACTCCTCCCTTTACTAAGGTATACTGAATTCAGTGGCATAAGACATACTTCAGACATTGTCTCAAACTAGGAAATGCTAAATCATACTAAAGCTCCTGTTCAATTAAAACAATCCCAAACAAACAAACAAACAAACACCAACAAAAAAAAAAAAACAAACAGTACAACCTTTTCTGGCTGTATTCAATGGAGGAATGTTTGTCCCTGTATGCAAAAGACCAGAGATATTTATCTGAAAAGGAAGATGCAAGCAATTTAAAAAATAACTTCCATATTTCTGTTAATTGTAAATCACGTTTCTGTTTCACAGCCTTAAAACTCTGAAGAGTTAAACCAAAGGAGTTAAATTCTCCACCAGAATGCATTTGCTCAAGTGTAAAGCTAACAAATGCTAAAATTTTTGGCAATACTTCTGCATTTCTGAATCATTAGATAGTCAAACTATTTTTTGATTTTGCTTGCATGATGCTGGATTAGAATAATCCATATAAATCAGTGGTTTCCCCTCACTAGGAATACAGTGTTTACTTCTGGTCTTCTGATGTCAAAAGGATGCATAAAAAGATAGGGAGGTTCAGAAATAAATAACAAAAAAGCCATGCATGTACAGCAGTGGATTAGAACTGTTTACTCACGAGAGGAGTAAGAAAGAACATAGTCAAAGTAAACATAATAGTAGCAAACCAGAGAAGGCATGCTGAGCATTTCAGTCACCCTTTACAGAACATAACGATGGGATGCTTTTCCTAAGGAAAACTTAAACATGTAGGTCTTTGACAAAGAGAACTGTTTATGCTATGGGAACGGCAGAATTCTCAATGCTCTCCTCTCACCAAGATGCACAGTTCACACCCACAAGACGGAACTGAAGTAGGACAAAGAAGAAAAAGCTGAACTCAAATCATGTATTTAGTTGCCTAGAGATTTAACTTGTGGAAACCTAAACATCCAGGACAAAGTCCTTCAAGATATTTAAGCACTCCTTTTCTACTGATATCAGTTATCATTTGAAAACAGTGAGGCTTGTTGACCAAATATGCTGGATGATCTAGACTGTTACAACTTCAAGCTCTTCCAAGTCTAGGCAGCAACAGTGGTGGCAATATAAAAATATTTATATGCTGGATAGTAGCTGGATGCCTATTTATTTCCTTTTTCAAATCATCACGAGACTGTTGTATGTAAAGATTGTGATTAAGCAGCATTTTCTATTTGATACAGTGAGTGAAAATATAAGCCATGAGGCTTCATACTTGTGTTTTTGGTAAGGCTATGATTTTTTTCCCTGTAAGTAGTCACCAACTCCCTCTTCCCATCAAGTCCATTACTGGCTCTCTTCCCCTCCACCATGACAAATACATACAGCCACATGGCCCCATTTCTCAAATGCCTTCCAGTTTTCATTACAGCCCTGACCACCTTTGCACCCCCCCCCCATCCTTCAACTCTTCTCCAAACTCTTTCTTTGCCTCTATCCACTTCTCTCCTTGCTGCATCCCCTTCTCTCCCCTCTGCTGTTCACCCCCCCCCAAACACACACACTGCTTTGCTCCTGACCACCAACCCCTCTCCCCCAAGTCTGCTGCTTCCTAATGTCTCACTACGTGTTTCCTTCCTACTCCCATACCACAAGGCCTCTCCAGAAGCTTTCAGTTACAATCATCCTTTCTCTTAGAGAGCAAAACACCATCTCCCCTCAAAGTAAGTGCTGAATACCACAGTGAGTAGCAGGAAGACTACACAAGCAGCACCTTGCAGCTTCAGGGAACTTGCCTCGCCAGTGAAGCAGGCTTCACCATCCAAAATTAAAAGTATTTCCACATGGTGATGCATTCTCTGAAGCTTCACATTTATTTGTGGCATTCCAAACTCGCTGCACCACTGACATGTAGAAAAATGCCACCAAGTCAAGCATCAAACATCATTACTGAGACCAACAAAGAGTTAGTAAGTTTCTTAGGTATTTGTACACATGCAAAATAAAGTATATGAGTAAAGCAAAAGTAAACAACAGGAGAGTCTATGCAAATTGAGGCCACACCAATTATGGATTACACTGGACAGGATTAATGCAGATTAAAAAAAAAAGTAGTAATTATTTGCAAAGTCTTGATGAACACAGAGATTCCTATAATCAAATCCTAAAAAGCTATCCATCTGTGGAGACCTCTAGTACTCATGCTAACCAACTTTCTTCAGACCCTACATAGGACATTAAACAGAAGTCTCTATGAAGAGATTGCCTGCAGAACAACTATAACTGAAGATGGTTTCAAGTACCTTTTGGTTAAGGTTCACCAGGCATCAGTAATGAATAAGTTCACATTCACAACCATTTTCAGACATTACGTAAGAAATTTGACTATTACCAACCAAAACAGAAGCTAAAAAGTATTTCATGTTTTTTGTAATAAAAGCTCAGAAACCTTACAGACATACAAATACTAGAAATTCCAGTACACACAAAGTATGATTATTTGCAATAATTAGTAAAAGCTGAATATTAACATTTTTACTGTTTTGTTACATTCAGTCATATTAAACATATTTCAAAGTTCCGCTACGGGATAAGTGTGCCTCAGGTTCTTGTGTCCAGCCCATAACTGCAAAAAATCCTGATTAAAGTGAATTTATTCAGCTCAGGTCATTATTTGCAGAAAGTCCATTAACTGTTTCCAAATAAAAGAAAAAAACTGTAAACAACAGGTTCTACAAAGTTTATATGATTCATTCTCTGATGAAAATAGTAGTTACCAGAGCAGTAACTGTTTTTAAGAAAAATAACGTAGCTCCCCCCCCCACAGAAATACCTTTACTGGAATAAAGTATTTACATGTTTCTTTTATATAAAAGACTTAAAAATTATTATATTTTAATTTGCAGTTAGTTTTTCAGTTACAGGGATAAGCTCATCAACTTCTACCTTACCACGTGTCTGCAGATTCTTAGCAGAACTCTTACATCAGATAATAACTCGAGTTACAAGAAATGATGAAGACTGATTCGTAACTGTAAAGTTTGTATGAAGAGAAACATGGGAAAAGATCAGCAAAACCCACAAGCACAGGAAGAAAGCTAATACGTAAGGTCATTCACTAGGAATCCACATACCAGCTGATTAAGAAGCTGCCTAATGACCAGCTTTTGTGATCACTACA